CCCCCCCCCCGGCCGCATAGTCTAATCATAATCATCATACAGACATCAAACAATGCTCCCGGAAATCACCACCTCCTCCCAAACACAGCACTCTCCTCCCTGACAGGCTTCCGCCTCAACAAGCCTCCGCCTGCCCGCTCGGCTGCAGCCTTCCTCCTGTCCTCCAATGGCCCTGGCTGCACGTCCTGATGGTGCCCGCCAGGCTTGAACAAGTCAATAATCTCATTGATACCCAGCTTCATGGCCTCCTTCTTGGCGCCGCCCTCAATCGTCTGTTCCGCCAGCTCACGCTTTTTATTCTGCAAGTCAATAATTCGCTCCTCAACGGTATCAGCCACGGTGAGTTTGTAAACAACCACGTCGACGGTTTGTGTGAGGCGGTGGACGCGGTCGATTGCTTGCTCTTCAACGAACTGCCAAATGTAAGCCTCTCTCCGGTCACAAGTGAAGTTATACAGTCTTTTCAACATGTCTGGGGTGTCGTGTTGGCCAAAGAATAAAAACATACCGGGTTCCAGAATGGTTCAACAATAATAACCCGCGTAGCGGCCGTCAAGTTCAGCCCCAGGCTACCGCACTTCAAACTGCACAGTAGAACCCTCGTGCTCTGGTCTTCGCGTAGTCGGCGCAGACTCTCTTCGCGATCATCATTCTTCATGCTGCCGTCGTAGCGCGCATATTCGAAACCGTCCTTGTCGAGAAATGGTTCGACAAGATCCAGCATGGATGTAAATTGGGAAAAGACGATGAACTTGTGTTCCTTGGCTTCGGCGTGAAGAATCTTGGTCACCTCGCGGATTTTGGCTGATGCGAGGACTTGCGTTTGCTTGCCGGAGCGGAGCCATCCGCCATTATCTTCGTCGTCTTCAGAGGCGTATGGTTCTGACTCTGATGCATCAGACTCGGAATCTTCGTCCTCTTCAGAAGTAGATCCAGCATTCGATGTAGGAGCCCCTGGCTTTGGTTTCTTGTCCTCTAGTGTTTGTGAAGCCATAGCTTGTGTTAAAGCATCCACGGACAAGAGTGAATCGTCCTGAGCGGCCTCGTCAACGGACTGATAACCATCCTCCTTCTTGGCCGTGTCGTCGTCAACAACAAAGCTACTCAGATTGCTTTGATACTTATCGTCTGCATCATCTTCTGAATCTTCTGTTCCAATCCAGTCACCACCACCCTCAGCATTCTCATCCTCTTCGCCTCCAGCCTTGCCCAAGTGCACGTTGCCGCGCTCACCTTCAGGTACAAGCCAACTTCCGTCATCTTCTTCATCATCACTGTCTATGATGGCATTTCTATTTCGTGGCCGGCGGGTTCGTAGTCTTGGTTGCTCTTCTTCATCACCCTTAGTTTTAGCTGCTTCCTTTCCCTTTGACTTCTTGCTCTTCTTTCTTCTTGATCTCTTTGGCTTCTGCGTTTGTAGCTCCTCATGGTTCTTGAAATACTCCAGATCATCATGGCATTCGGCACAATTCTCCTGACCCAGCGTAGTATCATTCAAAGTCAGTTCCCTGCCACATATTGAGCACGTCTTCGTCACAATACCCATGCCTGCGAACATATCTACAACAGCATTCAGATCGATATCCCGCGACTTTTGACTGGAGCCGGTGGAAAGAGCGTCCCTATCCTTTTCCAGCTTACCCTCTACCAATTTGGGGTGATTGCAGGCTTGACGAAGCCGCAGTAGGAGGGTAAAGGCGTTTGCGTAGCTGAGTTTGTTTTGCATCATCACCTCCATGCTTTTATCTGCACGAGCCTCGAGTCGGTCATAGAATTTTCGCTCAGCAGGAGGCAGTTTGGCAGAGACAGTGACCACTTTACGCTCCGTGTGCTTGAAACCCGTTGTCGAAGCCTCGCCGGCAGCACTTGGTTTGCCACCAGGGTTCAAGGCACCGTCTTTCTTCAAAATCTCCTTGGTGCGTCTCTTCATGAAACAGCGGAGAAGACTGTGTAGTCGGCGAATGGCAATGTGACCTTTGCCATTCTTCATGGGCTGGTCGATGTGCTCCCTCCACTGCTTTAGGTCGTCGTAAGGACTAATACGAAGGAATTTGATCAATGACTGGAGCTCATCCAGGTTGTTCTGCATTGGAGTTCCGGACAGACACCAGCGATATTCTGAACGCAACGCACAGCATGCCTTGGTAGCCTTGGCGTTGCGATTCTTGATGCTGTGAGCCTCGTCCAGAATGACTCGCCACCACCGTAGTCCAAAGCAGCCTGCTTTTATACCATTTTCGGCATCCGACGAGGCGCCATGCTCTGAAACCAGGATCTGGAATGTGGTGACGACGACGTCGTACAAAGCCAGCTGTTTGAAGTCCTTTGTTCTCTGAGGCCCGTGGTGAACCAGAACCTTGAGACCGTGGGATTCCTCAACCTTGTCCTTGATTTCGTGCTCCCATTGCCGAATGAGGGCGAGAGGGGCGACGACCAGTGTCGATTTTTCAATGCCCTCAAAATGTTTCTTCCACCCAGTGCTGTCCTTTTGGGGCTTTTGGTTAGTGATGATGAGTGAGACACTCTGTAGTGTCTTTCCCAGTCCCATATCGTCGGCAAGAAGCCCGCCTTTGGGCACCTTGCCACGCTTCACGGGGCCAAGCTCACGGCCTCTCATCCACTCTACACCCTCGACTTGATGGGGCAATAGCTTCACCTTGAGACCCTTGACCGTACCATCCTGGCCGACAGGACTCTGTTTTTTGGCCTTTTGTGTTGGTGACGATGTTCCTTCACCTTGAGTTTGATGTTGGCTCTGAGAGCCTTTTGGTTGTGGTTGCGACGGCTGTGAGGCCGCAGCATCTTTTGGTTCTTCTTCTTCTTCGTCATCCTCCATCCCGCCTTCCAATAGAGCCTTGAGATCTTCGTTCGCCTTCTTTGGATCGGTGTAGAATACTTCGTCGGCATAGGGAGCCCTCGAATTTGACGGGCCGTTGGACCCAAAGACGGGCATCGGAGGAGGCTTGCGATCTTGATATGCCGGTGGTCTGGGACCAGACATCTTGGTGCCTCCAAGGTGGTGCTCCGGGCGGCTCTTTTGGTGGATGAAAACGTCCGCCTTCTGCTTACGAGACGATACCATTTTCGTAGGATGACCAAAAGTAGGGTGGCCGACACTGGCGTTCCTTCCAAGACTTAGCAGATCTATGTCCTGCGTTTGCTGGGACTTAACAGACCCGAAGCCACGCTGCACTTGATCAAAAACTGCATCAAAGTCGTCTGGAGATTGTTCTCTCTTGGCATTAGAAGGTTGGCCCTCCTTGGGAGGCTGTCGTTCGTTGACCATGGTGCCTATGTCTCGAAGCGCCGAACCTGATTCGAAACTGTCTGTGCCTGCAAACGCTCTGGCAACACTGGTTTTTGCTGGACGTTGGGAGGAGGAGTTGGGGAAGTCGGGCTTTTCCCAGGATGCAATGTTGTTCCGAGGTTTAAATGCAAAACTTGCGCCCGGTTTCTGGCGGTCATTGGCGGTCATCGGAGCGTCTTGCGTGAAGTTGGGCACCAGTAACGAGCATTCACAGGGTTCATTGCTCACAGCTGCAATGTTTCTTTGGTGTTGGGCGACAAAGTGCCCGCCAACACGCCATGACATAATTGCCCCGGCAACGTTGTACTTGCCTTGTACCCACTTTGTACATCCACTCTCCTCTCCACCCTACACCAGCAGACACATACGCGTAGAGATACCGTGGCCGACACCAAAAAAGACTCTAGCTCACCGTGCAATTTAACGCGTTGCCAACTGTGCCTCTGTACACCACATCACACCGGTTGACTTGCTTGCCCATGCTGAATGCAGAGGTTGCGCGCGCGCCACTTGCATATTTTTTCGTGCTACATGTCAATTTCGAACCGAAATTAATCTCTGTAGCAACATAGCTGGGCGTGGATCTTGTGACCAGATACCTACTTAAGTACACGAGGCCAACCTACTGCTATAACCTGGCAGGCAAGTACGGAGTACTTTGATTGTGGTACCCTTTAACTCGGAGTGAAGCGACAGACACCGAGTACGACAGACTAAGGGCATCCAATGTCATGCGGGCCATGATTTAGTCTCTGGTCACATATTTTAAACGATGCGTATCTTATTGTTTGTGCTCCCAGTGCTCCTTAGTCTGTCAATTCCCCCAAGAATTCAAAACCAACCCAGTGCCTCCGAATGGAGGACTGAAATGGGAATTTGCTGAATAAAGGGGGATGGTTCTTCGCACAAGTGGCCACTGTCTCAAACATGGCGCCGCGGCTGCCTATTGTCTCACGCGTAGCCTGCAATAGACTTGCAGAGCCCGTATGCCTCATTTGATAGGCGCATCAAGTCAACTTGTTGAGGGACTTTGGATTCTCCAAGGACAAGGTCACTTAGTCCATTTTGGGAAACATGCCAAAATGGACTACATCGTCTATTACCACACAAGGTGCGTACGTAACATAGATTGGTTGATTATATTGAGACTTGCTCATATGGCTGGTCTAAGCGGCTGCAGCCAGAAAAAATTGAGAAGATCGTTCGTCTAAGCCAACCAAGCATCTTCATCAGCATCTCGCTCCGTATGCATCCCGGCCCATGAAATCCGCACTTCATGACAAGCCGGCTCCCCCGCCTTACAAAAACATCATTTTCACGGCGGGGGGGTCCTCTCATATCGGTCCTCGAAAAGACTTAACCGTAAACCAGCTTGAAGATGTCGTTATAGACGTAATATTGACCGCTAGCGGCGTCGCGGCTAAGCTGGAAGGACTGGGTGTAGTTCATGGGGCGCTGCTCCTCATCGACCTGTTACGCGTGTTAATCGCAACCTTCGCGTTGTGCTTTCGACCCCTCGGTGTGGTTGATTCATACCAGGAGCTGTCCAGTGACAAGAATAATGATGCCTCCATCGTTGCTGGAGGGCTGCGCATCGAGGGTCGAAACCTGGTGCTTGACTTTCTGAAAGGGAAGACCCTGAGTCATTGGTTAGCGCTAATATCCTGTTTGATATCGGAAAGCTGAGGGCTGTCGCATACGGCAAGCTTCTCGACGATGCTGTTGGCTCCGAGGGAAGAGGCTGACTCAAAGGTGAGCATAGAGTTGTCACGCTATGGAGATGCGTTAGCGCCTGGCCGTTGTTGTTATATTCGCGCAATAGTAGCCTACGTAGAGAGAAGCTAGGTTTTTGCGTTCGGTGTCGAAGGTGTTGTAGTAGAATTCAATAAATTGCTCTGCACGAAAAGGTCAGATCCGAAGGGGGAATAATCGGCAGCGCGCCACAAAAGCCTGCTATTATTCCACATACTAGCAATGTCTTCGTAGTCTAGCGCTCAGTGGTTAGCCAACATGTTGGTTTGTTTCCCGTTTTTTTTTTTTTCCTTTTCACGACACAAATGCGAAGGGGAGAAGCTTACTGTTGGCCATTTTGAAGGATGGTCGGGCCAAATGAGCCGCTACCAGAGACTAAATGATAAAGAAAAGAAGCTAGAAAGAAATCAGAGAGGCTCAAAATCAGATTGTTGGGTTGATCGCAAGATGTGCTCAAGGCGAGAATCAACAACACCAGCATTAGGTGGTAGTGGGGGTTGAGGGGCACAGTGCAGATTTGCACATTTGACTCATTAAGCGCGGGGCATGTCTTGCAGGCTGACGTGCTGTTGTGCTGCAGCCCAGCACCTTACTTTCACAATATGACCCGACAAACACATAAATGGCGGGATAAGGCTCGCTTAAGGGGGCCGTGCATTTATCCGAGCATGCTTGCTTCCTGCCCCATTGAAAAATTGCAGCTTCACCCATTCACCCATTCCTTCCCATCTCTCCGTCGACTTTTCCATCTTTATCTTCAATTAAGCACAACAGCTCTATGATGCATGTGGTACGCGACGAGGACACTTTCATCTGAACAATGAGTTCTAATTGACATGTTGAAGCGCTATGCACCGCTCAAGTGATATCCAAACCACTTCATCGCGTGGTAAGCATCATCCAGTCTTTTCATTTTATTTTATTGCACCTTGCTCCCTTTGACACATTGCTGGCAGCTTCTGCCTTACATGATGACACATTCTTCTTAAGAACGGCCAACTGAATTTCCATGTTGATTTTCAATTTATCAAGCTCAACAGTCTGACTTGAAATCATCTCATCTATTTATATCCGCACACTCTGCCAGAGCTCCTTGCTAACTAGAGACAATTGATAGGCTTTTACTTGCTTTGAGACTCCTCGTCAGGCACCCTGTTCAACATTGCCAATCCTCCATACATGTTGCCCATCCGGCTCGCCCACTCAATCTCTAGAACAACGACCTTGCCATCGATGCCACATTTGAATTGGACAGGATGGCACTCATTGAACAAAGTAGGAGTCAACTGCGTAGTAGCCATAACGACGCAGTCGTCTTCAGAAGCGTGTTGTAAAACGGAAATGTAACCTCCAGGTCAACTCGGGTCGATCGACCGCAAGAATCTTGTCGTCAGGCTTATCAAGATGATCTTCTTCGCGGAATGAAATGTGCCGTAGCCTGTGTCATTGTAGGATCTCACAAGTTCGCTGGTCTTGGAAGACGAAGGGATCGTACTGTCTGGGCGATTACGATGAACCTCTTTCACAGAGTCTTGATGTTGCTGCTGAGAGCCGCGATTCTGTCTTCCCATCTGCGCCTTTTTAGCAAGTATTCCCATCAGTGACCGACTAAACGTTAAACGTACGCCTTGTCAAAGTCGAACCGATCCTTCTACCGAGTATTCGTGCTGGGTAATTTTGAGCGACGGGGCTTTGGCAAGGTGGTAAGAGGAGCCTTTTTTTTTTTTTTTTTTTTTTTTCCATGAAAAACGGGATGACTTTGGACGCCACGTATTATTTGAGGAAGATAGGTGAAGTTGGTGATATTCAGAGGTATAAACCATCTTCTGCTGCCGTTGCTTGGTCCGTTTGGCGCAATTCACCAAACATTTTCCTGTTCGTCCATTTCGCCATGGCTATCAAAGAGGAGTCCTCATGGGCAATTACTCACGTTGATGCTGGGAGAAGCCCTCTGACGGAGGAGTTTGGGGTCCTTGCTGGTGAATAATTGGACAGTTAGAGAGTGCCGGGGATGTCGTTGGCTGTGGTTGACGGCGAGCATGTACGATATACAATCTACGTATTCTACGAAGAAATTCCAAGAGTTGCGGCTGAACTAAGCACTGAGTTGCATTTCTAGGAGGTTATGGGATAACCCGAGCCACCAGAAATGTTATTATTTTCACTTTTAATGTGGATGACTGTCATCTAGAGACTTGCGAGACATGCGGCCAGATTTTATACCAGTTCGTTTCCAGCAAGACATAACATCTCATCTTCAGTCCAAGTTTACATACAGCTATGCCAGTCACAACACAAAGCATTGTTTACACTCTTGGGCAAGATGTGCTTAAATTTGTTCCTATATGTGTATTTTCTGTAACCAATTCCCCAACCTCGAGCGAGTCAAGGCCAATGGCCGGGTGACCGTCTGGATGATACTAGCTTTTCATATCCTGGTGTATTTAATTCAATAGCAACACATTCCAATCCCGGCGGCTCTTGCGGGCTGTATGTCCTTGACTCTAGGTTTCGTTCCAGCATCGGTAATATGCCTCATGGTTCGTGGTTCCTTTGTGTGTGCGAAGTCTACGCCGTCGCTAATAATCGTACGTCTGTCTTTCTGGGAAAGAAGAGGACGGCAGCCACACCTTGCGCTCGTCAATCCAAAGACAGACTTGGAGTCTTGTGCAAGTGAGATTATCATGGAGAATTCTCACGCGAGCATAATTGTGAAACACACTGCTGTCCAAACAGAGCGATCACAGCTCTTCTTCCTCGACCACCTTGGATGGTGGTGCTGTCGTTGTTGTAGACGTTGTAGCTGGCGCAGACGTTACAGAAACAGCCGCATCTAGGGCCGCACTTAGACTTTGTGTCGTGCCAAGTTTCTCCCCCGTGTTCGTGACGTCCGTACTGGGCCGAGCCTTCTTCAGTGGACTCCCAATGAGAGCGTCTGCGGGTACATCGCTCCCGCTTTGGACAACGCTGGGTGGTTGAAGGCTTGGCGGTACCTGAGGCACGGGACTGTCTTCAGCCTGGCCTCGTTGAGAGGTCTCTGGAGTTGAGTGGCTGTCTGGATCAGCCGAATGCGCCCGCTTGAGCTGTGTCTCCCTGTTAGTGAACAGCGTCCAAAATACAAAGCGAAAAGGGCATTCCGCAATACACCTACACGAATACGATTGACACCATCCGCAAGTTCACCTCCAAACTTGGAGTCCTCAGAAGCTTCCTTCCCTTCGCCATCTTTGTCATCGTCTTCCATCTTGTTAAGGTTATTACTTTCGTCGTCGTCGTCATCATCGTCACTATCTTCAGCAATACTTCCGTTACTCTTCTTTCGTGCCTTTCTTCGCCTAGAGGTTTCGGTCGTCTGATCACGGAATGCAGAGAACCCAACCGTCCCGCCAGCCTTAAGGGGGCCTAAATTGGAGAAGTCTAATTGACCAGACCGTCTTTTAGCGGAACCAGGGGTGGCTTGAGAGTTCTTTGAAGACTGCACGACGCCAATTTTTTGCAATTGCCCTAGTAAAGCATAATTGTTAGTCTACCGGGAAAGAGACGCAAATTACAAGTGGGAAAACGTACTGTCACCTCTGTAAAAGAAGGTAAACACCGCATAAGGTCTATCAGGGCCATCTATTCCCGTCACCGTCTGAGTACTGATCGTCTTGGGATCGAGTGTTTTCGGCTTGGCAAAACTCGTGGTGTGCTCAACATCGGCGCCGACATTTTCGTTGTTACCAGTTTCCTCGTCGCCGTCGTGAGCGTCAAACTGAGGGGAATATTCGCCCTTTTTTATTTCACCAGAGGCCAGGACTCGGAACATGGCCACCTTGATCTGGCCCGTAGCCTCGGGGGGTTCGTCGTCATCGTCAGACCATGAATCGGAATCAAATACCGCCTCAATTGGTGAAGCATCGTCGGCACCGTACCGCAAAGTATCCTTCTGGCCACCAGAGGTGTCCGTGCCAGTGCCTGCTTCCTGAACCAGCGTCTGTCGCCGCCTTCGCTTTTCAAACTTTTGGCGGCGTTTCTCCAGCTTCTCTGCAGCATCATGGCCTTGTAGATCAAGCCCGTTAAGCCAACGCTCCAAGCCAACCTCGCGGAATAAGAACTCCCGTTCGGCCAACCCACCGCCTTCGGAATCAGGAACCTGAACCCATCGACTATTCACCCACGTCTCCTCGCCTGGTCGTAGGAGAGTGGCCACTTCCTCCTTGGCTCGGCCATCAAAGTAAATATAGGCGGCAATCGTCTCGTTCTCCGAGTTCGTCATGGGAATATATGGGTTCACCATGCCACCAGACTTGGGCCGCTCACGGCCAGAACCGGGTTGGAGGCTGCCCACATACTGAGGCTTGGGATACGGGTTGCTGTCAGAAGGCTTGGGGGCAGAGTACGGAATCGCAAGGCCAGGAGTCAGCAGGGTGATGGAGATGGCAAACTTGGCGGGCTCGGGCTTGTTCGAATCTGCCGTCAGGTTCGGCTGAGGCACTGGGATATAGGTACTGATGCGGGAAACTCTCGACTGCTTCTGCATGCCGTATTCAGGCAGCGGGGCGCCATTTGCGTGAATGCTCACCGCAATGCCCTTGAAGCAGGGCATGGTGGTGGGAGATGACCGACTGCGGGGAGTGTCAACGCGTCTCGCCCGGATGCTTTAGATGGCAAGAGACCGGTACAGGCCGGTAGATGGGTCGTTGGGCGTCGTCTTTGCGCGATACGGCTCGCCTCACGGAGGGGAGACGGTGAGAGGCGGTAGAGCTTGGGGTAGTTTAGGGTGAGAATTCGAGCTCTGTGAAGATGACCGGGTGGTGACGTTCAGCGCGCAGCCATCCCCAGTACAGCACACAACCCGAAAAATGAGCAGGAGGCGGGACGTGCAGCGGCCGTTTGTCGTTGTCGTTTAGTCGAGAAAGAGGACGACGTGGAGTGGTAAACCATGCAAGACGAGGCTGCTGCACAGTAAAACCGTCGGGCGCAACGACATGGATTTTGGGGGAGATTTTTAAATATTTGGAGCAGCCAAGGTTCCCGACCCGACTGGAGCAGGAACGAGTTGCAGTCACAGACAGTCAAATGTTCCAATCAATGGTCACAGTCACACGCACACATGCACACACCTGAGCAAACCAGAAAATAGGTGGGTGACGGCTTCAGGGCTCACTGGGAGCACTTGAGCACTGTAGCCTCTACCGGACAGTTGAGCAGTGGACCAGACAGCTCCATGGGACCGTTGACAGCAATGAAGCACTGGAGCCTTGGAGCATCGGAGCCCTGCACACGCCAGGCAGCTCTGATGCCGGAGCTCCCCCTCACAAGTGCGGACCAGTCAACTAAACTTGCCCCAGGAGACGGCCACTGACCCCTGCCCGTGGGGTCGATTGGGCTCAACAACTTGTTCTCGCCAAGTGCTTCTTCAGAGGGCGTTTGGTGAGGGGCTAGCTTCCCAAGTACGGAGTACGTTGGACCTATAATCTCTGGCAGAAGCCCATCAAGAAGTAGCTCATACACTAATGTACTCTGGAATATTACAGTATCGAGCGCGATGCCGGGTACTCGACCTGGTCGACTACTCCGTACTTGTAGCTAATTTGCCCAAGCGCAGTGGGTCTGGTACTGCCAGTGTCTGGTCCAATCCCGCCCCAGCCCCTCTAACGCAAGTCTCAGAACCTGTCGGACCATCCCATTGATCCGGCAGACATGCGGCTCGATCCGCTGGCAATTGCTTGCTGTTGCCGGCTCCGAGGCCCGTCTATGTGGTGATCCCTAATTAAGCTTGTGATTGGCTGCACTGAGAACGTTGGGCTTCACCACGGAAACCAGGGTTACGTCGGATGGTCTCTGTGTCTAGCCCTAGCTTTCAAAGAAGGATAGGCGGCCCCCCCCCCCCCCCTCACCCCCCCCACCTCC